AAAAAAAAAAAAAAAAAAAAGAAAAAAAAAAAATAGAATAGAAAGGGAAAATTAATATCGGAAAATTAAAAAAAATAATTCAAAAGGGAAAATCTTGATTATAATAATACAATTTTAGGTATAAAAAAGTTAACTATTAAAAGAAAACCAAAAAAAAAAAAAAAAAAAAAAAAAAAAGAGGGTAGAAATAAAAATTTGAAATAAAACAGAATATCTGAACGAAAAAGGAAATGATGATAAATTTTATGTTTAAAAAAATTAATAAATATGACAAAGAATATAAAAAAAAAAATCACTTTATTCATATATGGAAGAATTATAAAACTACATTTCATTTAAACTGTATACATAAATTTTTAAATAACGAACTGAGTAAGATTAATAAAAAATTACTATATAACAAAAAAAATTTAGAAAATAATATAATCATTAAAGTTGGATATAATTCATATAAAGAGTTATTTTCTTTAAATAACAGTTTAGAAAATAATATAGGAATATATTTTAAGGTTAAAAATAAAGAAGTGGAAAATAGAAATTATTATAAGGAAAAAACAGGAGAAAAAAATACTTTATCTATTAATGAGTTAAAAAAAAAAAGTATTTTAAATTTAAATAGTATTAATAATATCAATAATACTTCAAATAAAATGAATAAGATAAAATTTAGAAATTTCACTAATATCCCATTATCAGCAAAAAAAGATAAAAACATAAAATTTTCAAAACTAAATCTTTGTGAAATGTTAAATTTCATAAATAAAAATTTATCAAAAGAAAGGGATGAAAAAATATGGAATAATATATTCATACAAATAGATAAACTAACTTCAAAAGAATCTAAAAATGAAGAATATAAAAGAGAACTATACTCATTTTTTGCAAAATTAACTAATAACGATTACTATAATTTGTTAAATAATCTTAAAGATTTAGATGAAAATACGAAAAATAATATTTGTAATAGTATATTTTTTGAATGTTTTGCATTAAGTTTGAAAAATAGAGATGTAACATATTCTTTTGATAATTATGATAGTGTTAATGAATTGAAGGAACAATTTTATGATGTTAACGAAAAACAAGTAAATGAAAATGGGGATATCTCAAATAGAAAAAAAAAAAATGAAAGTAAAGTAAAATATTATATGAAAAATATCAAAAGTTTTTTAAATTTAACAAGTACTAAAAAAAATGCAAAAGATATTAATTTAGAAAATACAGATATAATTAATAAAAATAAATTATCTGATTCTAAAAATGTTGATGAAAAAAGAATAGATGATATAACAAATTCGGTTGAAAAGAAATTGGATAATAATAATATACAAAATAATGATAATGATGTTAATATAAAAAATGTGAAAAATGTAAAAATGATAAAAAAATGGTTTCATTTATTAAATTATTTTTCTAGCAAATCAGAAAATATGCTTATAATAAAAGATTATTTAAATAAAATATTTAGAAAAAACATTAATGAATTAATACATTTAAATTATTTTTCAAAAACAGTCCATTATTTAACAAATCAAATAAATAGTAAAAGTATTCATGCAATAATATTAGCATACGAAAAAAAATTAGAATTTATGAAACCGTATGATTTTAGTTACAGTTTAATTATTTTATTAAGATTTCTAATATTAAATCATAATTTATTTAATAATATAATTGATGATGCTATAATTGATCCATTAAACAAATTTAAAAATGAAAAATATTTTATCCGTTTTATAAAAAGTGTTGATAATTATCCCCTAATATATCCATCTAATTTAGATTATAATAATTCTGAATTTTTTCAAGGAAATATGAACGATTTATATAATTTCACATTTTCAATTTTTATAAGAAAATTAAGCATAAAATTGAAATATTATTCTTTAAACAATTTGTTATTTTTATCAGAATGCTTAAGTAAAGTTATTTTTATGTCAACTTCTCAAAATCAAACATTGCATATATTTATAAATAAATTAAGATACTACATTGATCAACATATTAATTTACAAACAGTTGATAATTATATGTTAATACGACTTTTTAAAATATCATCTTTTTTCTCATTTGTACCTGAAATGGAAGTTTATATAAATAATTCTCATAAAAATGTTAGAATTAAAAGAAATTTTATTTCAAATCAAAAAACAGTTAAATTATTAGAAGATGGAAACTCTTTAAAAAATAAAGAAAATCGTGAAGGGGATACAAAACACATATTAAATAAAAGTTATCCTTATAACGAAAATGAAAAAAAAGAAAATTTGGAATTTAGTGAAGATATGGAAGTAGATAATATTAGTAGTAATATTAATAAAAATGTAGAACAAATAAAAAAAAATTATATCAATATAAATGAAACAATGAATACAAATAATAACATTGATCAACTTATGCAAAATTGTGATGAAAAATATAAAAATGAAGAAATAAATGAAAAGCATATAATAGAAAAAATAGAAAATGAAGAAAAGAATATGGATAATAAAAAGATATTAAAATATAAAAATGAAATAATAGATGATAAGAATAAGAAAAAAAATATATGTTTCAATTTAAATGATGAAAAGAATATAAATTATTACGAAAAAATAGAAGAAAGTGATAGTGTTAATTTCTCCAATTTCTTAACAAGTTATGATTTATTTCAAAAAATAGATAATTCCTTTCAAATAAATAATTACATTTTAAATTATAATATATATAATGATATAAATAAGAAACATAAAAAAAATAAATTTTTATTAAAAAATATAGTTTTATTATTATGTTCCCAAATTGATAAAAGTTTAGATGAAATAATTAAAAAGGAAAATAAACTGAGAAAAAGTAAAAATTCTTCAATTTTGAGAAAAGAGGAATTAATCAAAGAAATTAAATTAATAAATGAAAAAAGTGAAATTAGAAATATGAATATAGATAATTCAACAAAAAATGATATATATCACTCTTATGAGAACAATAAATTATATAATGATTATTTAATTTTTTATGATATTGGTGTATTAAGTGACATAGTAAATTTTACACATTTTTCAATAAATATTAATAAGCATACTTATGAATTAATAAAATCTATAAAAAAAAGATTAATGGAAATAGTGGAAATTTATAACTTTAATAAGGGAGAAAATCATGAAAAAAAAATGAGTGAACATATTAAAATAAAAAATATTAGAACTTTTCAATTGTATAATTTTTATTGTGCTTGTAAAAATTTTAGTCCATCTTTTCTTTTTGGTTTTTTTGATATATTGCTTAAATTAACTCCCAAAATAAAAATTATAGATATAGATAAAAATGATTTATTTAATAAAAAAATTATGCATAAGTTGGAAAGTTTAGAAACTTTTGAAAAAGTATGGAATAAAAATATAAGTATTTCATTTATAGTTTCATTGTTACATTCACTTAAAATAATAATATCTTCTAATTTATTTCATGCAAATAATTTATTAAATGAACATATTAATATTATGGTTCAATATTCATATTATGTATTATTATATTATTATTATAACAAATATTTAAAAAAAAATCTCAAAAATTTTAACAATGTGCAAAATAAGAAAGAAGAACTCGGAGATTATAAAAAAAATGAAAAATTATTTGGTAATGACTTTATTGATGGAGATTCACTTACTTATCATAATTTAAATGAAACAACAAAGAGAAAACAAAATATAAATTATTCATATGTTAAAGATAATATAAATTTAAATGAAGAAAAAAGCAAAAATAAAGATTTTTCAATAAAAGAATTGCATAATAATGGTCAAGATACATATGAAAATAATGACAACAATAATTATGATAAGGATAATAATTATTTAGGGGATTCTAATTTAAAAGAGAATATTTTAAAAAGTTCAATGAATGATGAAAAAGTCAAAAATGAAAATTTAGAGGATTATAATTATTACAAAAATGATTACATCAACACTTATAATAGTGATTCATCAACAATATCCAGTATAATAAAAACAAGTAAGAAGAATAAAAAGTTTTGTATTTTTGAAGAATTATATTTAGAAGATTTATGTAATATATATTTGTGTTTATCAACATCATTGTATTTTTTAAACAGAGCAGAAGAAAAGTCTAGTGAAATAAAACATTTAATATATTTAGAAAATAAATTTTTAGAATTAATATCAAAAGTTAAATATATGAAATATTTATCAGATAATTTTATATTCTTTTTATTTAAAGGACCATATACTTATAAATTAGAACAAAAATTTGATAGCATAATTCCATCATTAAAAATAATAAATAAAAAAAAAAAAAAAAAAACGGAAATTCTTTCTTCTTTTACTTCATCTCAGAATATTCAACTTCTTAGTTTACCTGCTGCTACTGCTTTCTTCTTATGTAAAATAAAATTGTCTATGTCTAATGGGAACAAAGAAAATAATGTTTTAAGAATTGAAAATACAAAAAAATTATATGAAATTTTAATGAATGATTATAAATTATTATCAAACTGCATTGAACAACTATATATTAATAAAAGAAATGATGGTGATAATATGAAGAATTCGGTAGATTATGTAAAAGATAATATTTTGCAAAATCAAAGCGAAGAGGTAAATAATCCATCAATTAAATTTAATAAAAATAAGTGTAAATATTCTCATCTGCCATATTTTACTTCTAATAAAATTAGTATGAATGAAAATATTCATTTTATAAATATAATAAATGATATGTTCTTTGGAGTTCATGAGGTGAAAACACTATATGATTTGCAAAATACATTATTAAAAACAGTAAAACATTTAGAAACAGCACAAATAAACTTAAATGTTAATCATAAATTTACTCAAATTAAACCTATTCATAATGATGTTCTTATCTGTTTATCAGAGCTTTCAAAAGTTGTAAAAGAATGCCTATATACAATTTTTTTATCACAACCATATATTCATAAATCTCCCAAAAAATATTCAACTAAAAGACTAGTTAATTATTTTATCAATAAATGTAAATTTGTAAGAGATTATAATATTTTTGATGATTGCAATAATAAATCATTTAATGAACTTAAAAATCATAAATATATAACAAATGAAATTTGATGTTAAATTTTAATAATTGTCTTTATTTTACCTTCACTTTTTTTTTTTTTTTTTTTTTTTTTTTTTTATTTTTTTTTTTTTTTTTCTTTTTATTTNCTTTTTTTTTTTTTTTTTTTTTTTTTTGCTTTATTTTAATTTTATATTTCTTTTTCCTTTTAATTCATTATTGTCTAATTTGTAATGAAATTTAAGGCAATTATATAAATATTTCCGCATATTTGTATATTGATATTTTATTTTATATATATTTTATATCTTTTTATTTTTTAATTAAATAATAAAAAAGAAAAAAAAAGTTATATTTATACTTATAATAAAAAAACTCAATTTTTTATTCTTATTTTTAATTTGTTTTACCCAATATAAATTACTTACATTTTATTTTTATAATATACCATTTTATATCTTTATTTACATTTTAAATATCTATTTATATTTTTAAATTGTACAAATATATATATATATATATATAAATTTTAATTTCTTATGTTTTAAAAAAGCATTTTTTTTTTTTTTATATATTAAAACAAATATTTATATATATTTTAAAAACGATATATTATTATCATATGTATTTTAAATATTCTAATTTTTATGATTTGCATTTTTTTATTAAAACATTTTTTTATAATAATTCTAAATATTTTTTATTAGCATCTTTTTATTTTAACATTTTTGTAAAATTATTTTTTAATATTTTATACTTCATTTTTGTTTTGTTTAATTTTTATCCTATTTTTTCTACTTTTTTTTTTTTTTTTTTTGATATATTTGTGTAGAATTTTTTTATTTCGCATATAAATTTCCTAAAAAAGTTGTAAAAAAATCAAAGAAAAAATAATAAAATAAAATATATATATATATATATTTATATATATAGCTCATTTATATTTTAAAAAATGTATTTTCTATAAAAAATAAGACTTAAAAAATTATTTTTCTCTATATTTAAAAAATGAGAAAATTAGACAAGTTATAATAGGATATAAGTAATTCATATATTTTTTATAAAATGAAAAAAATTTTAAAAAAAGAGTAAATTATCTATATAACTTTACTAGATATTACAAGATTCTACTTAATAAAATTTATTTTAAAAGAAAAAATAAAGAAAAAAAATTAAAATAATTAAATAATAATATTACATTTTTTTTTTTTTTAATTTATGTTTTTTTTTTTAAACTACTATAATAATTAAAGAAAAAAAAAATATATATATATATATATATATTAACCCTTTTTTAATGAATATTAACAATAAGATAATAATAAAAGTATTAAATTTTTTTTCACTTTCTTTTTCTTAAATCGTTTTGTAATTTAAATAAAAGAGACTCAAAACATATTTTCTATTATAGAAAAGTAAAAAAAAAAAAAAAAAGGAATCTAAAGAGTATTAATATGTAAAAAAAAATATATTTTTAAAAAACTAAGTATATATATATATATTTTTTTTTTTCATTTTTTAATATATATAGAAATATTGTTTTATAATAATAAAAGACTAAAATTTTCTAATTTAGAATTTTGTAGATTACCTTGTCTATATTTCTCTCTATATAAAATGATAATAGAAGAAAAGGAAAAGAAAAATATTACAAATGATGAAAATGAAATAACATCAAGTATAAATCTGAAAAATGAAATTTCGTTATATAATAATATAGAAGAATTTAAAGAAAGTAATGATAATATTCAAAAATGTTTTGAATCTTTAAATAACACAATTGAAAATATGAATGTTCATGTAAATAATATACTAAAAGATAATGAAGAAAAATATATATTAGCATTTAATACATATATGTATGATGTTCAAAAAGAAATTAGAATTTTAAAAAAAATTTTAAAAGAAGAAAAAATAAAAGAATTAAAAGATGAAAAAATGAAAAAATTGCAAAAAGAATTAAAATGGTATATAAATGAATGTCTAAGATTAGATAATATATCACAATATTTAAAAAAAGAAGCTGAAAAATGGAAAAGAAATAGTTCACTTATGAAAAGTCACATGCTATTTTTAGAAAAAAAATTAACAAAAACTTTTGACAAAGTTATTGAAAAAAAAAATGTAAAAATAGAAGAAGAAAAAAAATTAGAAAATGAAAATATAGAAAATAAAAAAGATATATTTAGTGAAAAAAAAAATTTAGAACAGATTGAAAAAGAAGACGAAAATAAAAATGAAAATAAATTAAAAGATAAAAGAAAAAAAGATAATCTCAATGAAGAAATGAATTTAAAAATAACTAACTTAGAAAAAAAATTAAAAAAACAAATAAATATAAATTCTAATTTACAAGAAAAACTTACAAAATATTATATTGAGAAATCTAAATATGAAAAATTATTTATTGATTGTGTGAAACAAATTAAAAAAGATATAGAAAATAAAACAATGATCAATGAAAAAGAAAAGTACATAGAAGAAAATTTTTCATCATTAATAGATGAATCTGAATTAAGTTATTTTACTAAAGAAGATAAAAAAAAATTATTAATAACATTTTTTTCTTCAAATGATTTAATTCAATTTATTAGAAAGAAAATTTTTAGTCAAGAAAAAAAAATGCCACTTGATATATATAAAAAAAATAGTTACACTAATCCTAGAATGAATTATCAGAAAAAGTCTGATATTTCACCTTTTATTTTGTAAATTATATAAATAGATATATATATTTCTTTTAATAAAAAAATTTCACATATCTTTCTATTAAATGTCATATGTTTTATCTTTTTTTTTTTTTTTTTTTTTTTTTTTTTTATTTATTTCATGACTATCTGTTATTTAATTCTCTTTTATGTTATTGTATTTTATTTTATTTGACTCTTTAATTAAATATGATTTTAAAATATAATTCCTCTTATAATATCATAAACTTTATTTATAAGTTTAAATATAAAAAATAAAGAATACTTTTAAGATAATTAGTATTATCTTTAGGTTTTATGTCTCATCAAAAAATAACATGCAACCTTAAAATTTTACATATATTTCTAATAACTTTTTTCTATAAAAAATTAAAAAAAGTAAAAATAAATAAAAAGAAGAAAAACTTATTATAGATAAAAGAGATATGTAACTAAATGAAAGAATATATAGTAAAAAAAAAAAGAAAATATAATATTTTTTAATGTCTATTCTTTTTTTTTATTTTTTCAAAATGCCTAAAAGTGCACTTTAAAAAATACATAAGAAAAAAAAAAAAAAAAAATGTTACATAAAATATATTGTCTTTTATGGAAAAATATGAAAAAAAAAAAAAAAAATACTAGAATTTTTACTTATTCTCCTAATTTTTAAATACTCTAATTAAACTAATAAAAATAAAACTCAACGTATTTTATAACAAATGTATTTAATACAAAAAATAAAAGAAATATTTTATGAGAATGGAGAAAATGACAAATTAGAAAAAAAAAAAGAAAAAAAGAAAGTTCGTATAAGCGAATTAAATGATGAAATATGGATTTATAAAAATGATTTTAATAAGGAACACCCAAGTGAAGAATATGAAATTGAAAGTGGAAATGAAGATGAAGATGAAAATGAAAATGAAGATGATGATGATGAAGAAAATATAAAAAAAGAAAAGGAACATTTTTTGGAAGTACCTTTATTTGATGAAGATGAATATGGGAGAGACATTAAAAAAAATTTAGTTAATATAATTTTAAATTTTAATAATTCTTATTTTTTTTTTTTTTTTTTTTCATTTAAGCTTTATAATATATTTAAAAATATATTTTTTTTTTTTTAATTTATAAATTTGTAGAGAAATATTCCATATAAGAAAAATACATTAAAAAAAAGAGATGATGAATCAGAATTAAGCGATGAAAGTTTAAGTACTACTGATGAAGAAGATGTAGAAGAACCCTTTCTAGATTTATATGAAGAATTAAAAGTTAAAATTTGAAAAATATTTAAAATAAAATCTTTATGTTTTAATATTTTACATTTTATACAATAATATTTTTAATGTTATTTGATTTTTTATTTACTTTTTATATTTAAAATAGAGAGAACAAAGCATAACAGAATTTTACAATCCAATGTTAAAACCTCGTTTATGGCATTTTGAATTTTTTATAAAATATATCCATAATTTAGAAAATCAAAAGCAAAAAAATTTTTATTTAGTATCATTTGGAAATACTAAGTAACATTTCAATTTATAATATATCATTTCTTTTTTATTTACAATTTATTATTTTTTTCATTTTTTTTTTTAAAAGAAAAATAAAACTTTATGATATACTAAAAGACGAAGTTTTGTATACCCCTGGGTATACAATAGAACCAGGGGAGATTAAATATTTAAGAATCCCACGTAAAATAAAAAAAAAATAAAATGATAAATTATTAAGTATAAAAAATAGTTAAGTATATATATATAGGAAGTAGAATTATAAGAATATATGAATGAGAAAATACTTTTTTTTTTTTTTTTTTTTTTCAGTTCCTATATGGTCTAAAAAGGAGCTTAGTATATCATATAATGACTTACAGAATTTTGAAATAAATATTGAAATGTGGGGAATAAATGGATTTATATTTAATGATTTATATGCAACTTCTAAAAAAACATTAAAAGAAATTATTGAAAATGAACCAGATAATAATATAATTTTAAAAAAAAAAATTGAAAAACAAAATATTACTTTTGAAGCACAATGCTTAGGAGTAATTTACATAAATTTATTTATTTTTTTTTTTTTTTCCATCTTTTATTTATTCTTTTTTAATTTACACTAAATATATTTCACATATTATATTTATCATAATTTTTTTTTTTTTAAGGTCTATATGCAATTATCAGAAATATTTGAATTTCATATGGCTTTGGATAGTTGGTGGTTTATATCAAGTAGCGAAATGCCAAGTTATTTGAAAAAACTTCCGAAATTTTTAAGGTTTAAATTTCCCTTAAATGAAAAGGATTGGGTAATTCATAGTTCATATAAATCATCAAATAATTTTTGGCTTTACCCAGGATATTTTTGTTTTATTGGAACTCGTCAGCAATTAGCTAATTCCTTTTTTATTCTTACTGTAATACAATTAATAATAATTACTGTTAATAACTTTTTTTTTTTTTTTTTTTTTTTTTTTTACATTTACTATACATACAAGTAAACTGTTTTTTTTTTTTTTTTTTTTTTTAAAGGTTTTATGTTACAATTCTAAATATAGATATAAACCTCCTATTTTATTAGGATCTTGTATAATATCACTCAAATCTGTAACAGAATATCCTTTTTTTAAGTACTTTTACATGAATATATACATAAATATATATACATAAATATATACATATATATATATATACATTCTTTTTCTAATTATCAGAGGAATAGTAAAAAAATTAACATTAGACAAAACAAGATTTAGACAAGGAGAAATTGTAGGTAATATTAAATGTTTTGCTAAAAGTTATGGAATAAAAGAAATTGAAAAAAATATTCAAAGACCATGTCAACCATTTAGTGATGCTACATTAGTAAATCAATTAATTTTAAATGATCACTATTTAGTAATAAGGTTAATATTTTATTATTTCTTATTTTTTTATTTTTTTCTTTATATTTACTTATTTCACCTTTTTTTTTTTTATAGAGTAATTAAATGTGAAAATTTGGCTATAAGTAGTGTTGATTTAAATAATGTTAATATAAATGTTTGGGTAAAGTGGGATGGAATGGTAAATAAAACTGATACAGTAGCAAAAACCACTTCCCCATTTTTTTATCAAAATTTATATTATCCTATACGATTAGTTGATAGTAAAGAATTAACTAATGAAAACTTGATAAGAAATGTATTGCCAATTGATTTAATTTCTAAAGGAGAAATTTGTTTTGAAGTTCATAATAATAATGAAATATATTCAACGATTTTGGGTATTTTTGAACTTCATTTTGCTGACATATTTAATTATGGAACTCTTGATTATAGATCTTTAGCTCAGGTTATTTTCTTAACATTTATATATATATATATATATATTTTTTCTATTTTTTTTTTTTTTGTTTTATCATTAATATTAAGATATAAATATTATAGGCCAATCCCAAAAGTAGTTCTATGTATAATGATTACAAAGAAAATTATGAGGTACCTAATAGAACCACTGATAATACAAATGATAATTATGATGATTATTATGTTAAAAATTATAAAACGATAGTCTATAAAAATACATTAGGTAAAAAAAAATATATTTATTATAACTAAACAAGTATATTATAAAACTTGTGACATTTTAATTTAATTAAATAATAATAGAATTTATTGTTACTATTTTTTTTTCATTTATTTGAAATAAAAATATATTAGACAATTTCAAACATTATTTTTTTTTTTTTTTTTTAGAATTAATGTATTCTAAGGTTCATTTAAAATCATTAAACAAAGAAAATATTCAAACAAAAAAAGAATCAACAATTACGATAGAAGCATATGTTATTCCTCCTCTTCCGAGTAATCTAGTTTTTTTTAATGAAAATAAAGCAACTAATTCTTCATTAATATATAAATCTTTATCAAAAAGGTATTGAAAATGCTAACATTAATTTAAAAAAAAAAAAAATAAAAAAAAAAAAAAATAAGTTTGTTTTACTTCTGAAGGTGGGAAAAAGATTTCTCAAAGTTTAATGATACGTATCTTCAGTGGTTTCCAAAATCTATTAGAAATAGAAAGTATGAATAAAAAAAATGGATGAAATATATATATATATATATATATATATAATATTAACTTTTTTATTCCTATAGTTTCCCATGTGTAAGTAAAAATGATTTTGATAATAATGTTTATCCATTGTGTAGTTTTGTTACTTCAATTAACTTACCTGCTCAGGTATCAACTCCAGGTAAGAATCTTTTTTTTTATTTTGGTTAAATAATTTTAGTGTTTTTTGTTTTAAAAATATATATAAATTTTTTTTTTTTTTTTTTTTAGGTCCTCTGTTTCATTGGTTAAATAATATTGAGTATATAGGAAATGACGATGAATCTGCAATTTTTACTCCACCTTATTTTTTTTTATCATATAAAAAAGGAACAATACAGGATCATGTTCTTTTATTATGTTGTTGCTTAAAAGGTTTAGAATATGATGCATATGTTTGTAAAGGTAAAGAAAAATTTACATATATATATGTATCTAAATAAATATATATATATAAATATATATATATATCTAAATAAATATTTAAATATTTTCTTTTTTCAAGGTACAATTAATAATGGGAAAAAAGTGCATTACTGGGTTATGACTAGACATGAAAATGGATGGATTTGTTTTTGGGAAGTTACAAATAAATCAATTATACATTTAAAAAATAGATGGAATAATAAGAATTTTTTAAAAAATTCAGAAATAATTAAACAAAATGAAATGCTTAATAAAATAAAAGAAAATAATGAAGAAAAATATTACAACGGAGAATATTTAATGAATTTTGTTAGATATGGTTTAGAAGAATTAAAGAGAATAGAAAAAGAAATTAAAGAAGATTATGATTTAAAAGAAGAAAATGAATTATATACTATGGATATTTGTGGAGAATATAATACGAAAGATGAAAAAGTAGACATTGAAGAAATATTATGTAATGATGAAGATTTTTTTAATAATATGTTTGAAATAAAGTATGAAAAAACTGATTCATATAATTGTAACAAAGCTTTAAAATATTTATTAGAAAATTTCTCAAAATATATACCTATATCTCCAAAAATGTTTCTAATTGATTATGAAAACACATTAGCTTACGTACCTTATACTTCTATTGAAATTGTTTTTAATGATGAACAGTTATATGGTAATATGCAAAACCATCATCCTGCTTGTATTTTATATGATTTTGAAAATAATAATCATTGGCGTCCTTTACTTAATCATTCACCAGTTTCTATTAAAAATGAAATTACTATTTCTACTCCTTTAAGTGATAAACTTTCGTAAAAAAAAAAGAAAAAATTAAAATAAATAAATATAGATATTAATTATATATTTCATATGGTTTATAACATATATATATATATATATATAAAACATATACATTTTTAATTTTATATAAGTATTTAATTTTTTATATAATAATTTAATTTTTTGAAATTTTTCTTAGAGCAAAATATGCTTATGATTTAGAAGAAGAAATTAGGGAGATGATTCTTTTTGTTAGAAACAAAGAAGGTTTAGAAACAAAATTTGAAGACTCATCAGAAATAAGATATTTTTTAGAAATGTATATAGACTTGTGTGAATATAAATTAAACTTAGATAATAATTATAATACGAAACCTGAAAATTATGAAAATATTGAAAAAAAAAATGATAACAAAAACGATGAAAATATAAAAAAAAAAAAAAGAAAAGGAAAAAAAAATGAAAATGAAGTTAAAAAGACATGGTCTCAATATAAAAATGATTTTTATCCAAATATAGAAGCACAATATGTAAATAAAGATGATTTGAATTTTTATAATTCTTATTATCCCACTGAAAATGTTGTAATGATGAATAAAGAACAAAAAAAACTTTTAACTAATATTCCTGAAGATTATGTGTGTGGAATGAATGATGAAATTTATGGGAATGCAAAAGAACAGTATATAAGAAATTATGTTTTTAATAAAGATAGTGATAATATACTAAATAATTATAATGATAAAGTTAAAAAAAAAAATATAAAACGTTTTCATAATATTCCAGTACATTATAAGGAAAAACTTGAAGACATAAGTGAAGATCAAAAAAATGAATATGATGAGTTTCGTAAATTGAAAACAAACAAGTTTTTAAAAAATAAGTTTATTAAGGAAAATATGAATAACAATAAAAATAAAAAAGAATACACTAACGAAAATGATAAAAAAAAAAGTGAAAAAGAAAAAAAAAATTATAATCATTATGTTGTAACGGAATATAATCATAAAATTAATGATCATTTAAATAGATATAATGAAGAAAATCACATAAAATATACAAAAAAAAAAAACAAAATAGAAAAAGATGGGTTATATGAAGATGAGATAGAAAGTGAGCATAATGAAGAAAATGAAGAAGAACTATATAAAGAAATTAAAGAAAAATATTATTATGATGAAGAAGAAGAAGATAATATTAAAGAGGATATATATTATAAAAATAATGATGTTCCTAATAAATTTATAAAAAAATACGATAAACAATATGATAATTTGTTTAGGTTAATAAAAAATTTAAAAAAAAAGGAAAAAATTATAAAAGAAGAATTAATAGACTTAAAATTGAAAAATAAAAGCTACCATCAAGGAAAACTAAATAAAGAAACATTTTGTAATTTTGTGGATACTCAGGAATTTTTAATAAATAAATTAAGAAATAAAAATTTTGAAAAAAAACAAAATAAAAATAATAATTATGAAGAATTAATAAACACGTATACATCTTCCGATTATTTAAAATATAAGAATAAAAATATGTTTAATGGTTATTTTATTATTCCATCAAGACAAATTTATACAGAAAATAAAAATGAATATAATAATAACCAACAAACTTTAGAAAATAAAGAAAATAAGAAAAGTACTATTTATTATTCTTTTGAAAAAAAAGAAAAGAAAAATATGAATGAAATAGAGAAAAAAGGAAAAAATTGTTTAAATGAAAAAAATATAAATAGTTCAAAAAATCTATTAGTGAGTGACACGAATAATATTAACGAAGATATCATAAGTAGAAACAAATATAAGAAAATTAGTTATAATAAAAAGAATATAAAAAGATATCATAAGTTTGATCAAAATTTAAATACATTATTAAATAAATATGAGAAAAGACGTAATATAAAGATGATAAAAAAATGTTCATATAATATACAAAGATATTTAAACAGATATGATATGACAAGGGTTAAAAAGAAAAGACATAAGATTAAATTTTTTTTATTTAAAAGTAATTCTAACAAAATTAAAGAAAATAATATACCTTTTAAAAAAAAAAACTCACATCCTTTAAAATATAATACAATAATGAAAAAAAAGAATTTTATTTCATCAAGTGATAAGGAAATCGTTTCTTTGAATAAAAATAAAAGATTCATTTTTCAACGTAATCACAAAATGTATAGAGATAAAAATATAAGGGATATCAATGACGATCAAATTATTGGAATATACGAGGTATATATATATATATATATATATATATATATATATACATTAGTAAAATGCAAAATTATAAATTGTGCATTAAAATATATTACAAAAATTATATTGTTATTTTTTTCATAATTAGGATAGAGAGCAAATTAAAAATGCAAATGAGAAAATAATACAAAGGTATGCAGAATACCCTGTTATAGAAAATAATATGATTAATAATAAAATTAATAAAACAAATCTAAATAATTTTCAAGAAAAAAATTTAAAAAATGAATCTTCACAAAGTGTAAGTTATGATAAAGAAAAAGAAGAAAAAGAATCTTTTACATGCCCACCCAAAACATGGTCAAGATTAGATTTAACATCCAAATATGTTGCTCATCAAATTTCTCAATGGAATTGGTATTATTCATTGGTAATTCGTTTAAATATTTAATTTTTAATGGATAAAAAAAATTTTCATTATTTTTGTCGAGAAGATATATTTATTTAATCAAAAATATTTTTTTAATATATATTTCTATATATTCTTATATATATATGTGTCCTTTTTTTTTTTTTTTTTTTTTTTTTAAAGGAAGAACAATATTTTAATTGGCAATATTATAAATTTCCTGTTCCACCTAATCACACATTTGTTGGTTTTCCAATTCATTTTTCTACAATTGGTTAAAATTATTATAAATAGAAAATAAACAAAAAAAATTAAATTAATATATATATTTTTAAAGTAATATAAAAAATTATTTAAACACCATTATTTTTTATTATATATATTTATTTTCCTTAATAGATGTGACTGAAGTAAAAACATTTTTGTTACACTCTAAAAGATTTGAAAACATAATGAAACTTTCAATTGATAATATTTCATTTCTAATATATTGCAAAGTGTATCCTTTAATTGGTGGAGTTATGTCAAATTGGGTTTTCTTAGGTTGTTTGGTTCCATGGATGGTAAAAAAAAAAAAAAAAAAAAAAAAAAAATTTTTATGCATAAATCATTATTTTTGTAAAAACTTTATCTATCCACTTTATATAATTATAATTTCAAATAAAACAATGAATTATATAATTAAAAAAATTAAATATTATCTTAAAAAAAAATTTAACTTAGACTGCACAGGAAAGAGAAACCAAAATAAAGAAATCTCCAAAAAAAGATGTTAATAAAAGATAGATTTAATTATAAATATTTAAATTATATTAACTATAAAAATATAAAGAAGAAAAAAAAAAAAAAACTAGAGGTAAATATAAAAACATTGAAAATAAAATTAATTAAAATACGAATATAATAATTTTGCAAATGGAATATTTTACCTTTTTTATATAAATATGAAAAGATTTTTCCTATATAATTTTTTAATAGTTTTTTTAAATTAACAAATTGATTTCATTTTTGTTAAATCCTTTTTTTTTTTTTTTTTTTTTTTTTTTCACATTTCTTTTTTTTAATTTATAATGTAACGTTTTTTTTTTTTTTTTTTTTTATGTTAATTACATTTTAACTTTATTTTTTGTTGAAATTTTTTTTATGTCGTATTCTTATAATAGTAGTATGATAATCTTTATCTTACATGAACAGAACATTCTTTAATTAAACTTTCTATAATTTTATTTTGTATATTATTGACAAATTTATGTGTTAAATTCTGATTATGCGAACGATATGTAATTCTATAACATACACTTGTCTCATTTGTTTTGGGGTTAAAATAATGATCCACTTTTTTTACTTCTTCAATGTTTTCATGGGCTATATCTCTACATAATTGAAAAAATATATTTTCTTTAAAGTTGTCATTAATATAAAACGAAATATCTTTTTTAATTGAAGGAAAATTACTAAATGGATAAAATTTTGTGATTTCATTTTCTTTAAATTGGTTAATAAATCTTTTATCATTACTCCATAATAAACGAATATCTTCAATACCATATAACAGCATACATAATCTTTCTAAACCTATACCAAATGCCCATCCTTGATAGTTTATGTTTTTTAAAAACTCATTTATTTTAAGTGTAATTTGATTATTTAATTGTTTATTACAAAATTTATTGATAATAGAATTACATTCTTCTTTATTTTTTGTTTGAAATAAAATTTTGTTATTAGGATAATTATCGAGAGTACTTTTCAAATTTTTATCAAATGTATAAATTTCATTTTCTATTATTTTTTTTATATCTTTTTCATATAAACTCATATAAATTACTTCTTTTTTTATCTTACCGCATCCCAAAATTTCTATCCATTTTTTATCATTTTCTCTTTTTATATATAATTCATAAGAAGGATCAGTAAATGGGAAAGATGTATTATCTTCCCATTTCATTTCAATTTTGTTAGATTTAAATAAGTAATTAATTAATTTTTCAAGTTTTATTTTCAAATCAGCTTCTACTTCAAAACTTTCAGACCGCATTAAAAAGCCATCTGTTTGATGAAAAATAGGAAAGTGATATTTATCAATTTCATCTCTTCTATATACAGTACCTGTATAAATAACATTTCTATAATTTTTTTTTAACAAATATGGTAGATGTGTAGTCATATGTGTTCTCATCAATTTTATATTATCATGATTTAATATTTTATTAGATAGATAATATTTGTAAAACTTGTTTAAAGTGTCAAGTCTTATATAATAATTTTCAAAAAGAAAATTAAAATTTTTTATATAATTTTCATTCAAATAAAAGGTATCTTTAATACTTCTAGCTGGATGTGATAAGGGAACAAGTAATTCATCAAAATTTTGTTTTATAGATGTTTCATAATTTAAATTATCAAAATTTTCAAATTTAAAAAAGTGTTCAATCATATTTTTTACCGTCCTTATTGGATGATTTTTTGTATTATATAATATTCTCCCTTCATTTGATAAAATTATTTTAGGTAATGTCATTTCTCATAATTACATCTACATGTAAAATATCATTATATATTTTTATAAATTTTTTAATATAATTTTCACTACAGTTTTTCCTACTTAAAAAATGTTTTTTTATACATATTATATTTTATTCTGTTTGAAAAAACACATACCCTAGTAATTTAAAAAACAAAAATGGGTTTATTATAATAATTTATTATATAACACAAAAACATTTTAATAATTTATCAATAATTATCCATATTTTGTTTTTATATAATTAAAAAAAAAAAAAAAAAAAAAAATGCCAAATATAAAAATTTTTGAAATGCCAAATATAAAAATTTGTAAAATGCCAAAAATAAAAATTTGTAAAATGCCAAATATAAAAATTTGTAAAATACCAAATATAAAAATTTGTAAAATGCCAAATATAAAAATTTGTAAGTTTCTAATAGCAAATATATCATTCAAAATAAAAAAAAAATTTAGTTTTATTATTCTTATAATTTTAACATGATTCAAAGTATGAAATATTTATTCTGCTAAATAATTTTAAAATTAGCAATACTTTTCAAAATTTAAAAAATATTGGTATTAAATATAATTGAAAAATATAATATAGAAATTAATTAAATTTATATTTTTTTTTTTTATTTATTATTATTATTATTTTTTTTTTTCTTATAAAAAAAATTTTAAAAATTGTGAACGTTACAATTTTGTATTATTTTAACATATTTATTACGGTTTAATGTAGTTTTAGTGCAAATATATATATATATATATATATGTATATATGATAATTTAAAATTTTCAAGTTATATTTTTTGGTTCATAAATTCTTTAAAAAAAGTAAAATAATTATAATATTATTATATTTTAAAATTGTTAATATTTTGGTATATAATTTTTTTTAGTTGAATAATTTTAGAATACGGAAACAAAATATTGAACATAAATTATATTAACTACTACCAAAATTATTTTTTTCTTAAATTTTAAAAAGAAAATATATATGCACCAGAATTTAGTTTTTTTTTAAAATAATTTTTTTTCTTTTATATAAAAAAAGTATTTCCATTCTGTTCTGCATTTTATATGTTTTTTTTTTTTTTTATCTTATTTTGTTTTTATATCAAATTTTTTATATTTTTACACTTTTTATATTAATTTATTTTATATATTTTCATTTAAATGAAATAAGAGTAATAACTACTTTTTATAATTTTAAATTATTACTTATATGATTTATATAAAAATGAAAGAAAAAGAAATTTTTAAGTAAAAAATGTTTTGTCTTAAATACGTTTAGAGAAAAATTAAAAAAATATTTTTTATGGGAGATATGATGGAATAATTATACTCACAAATAATGAATACTAGTGAAATGATAGAATTTATGTAAAATAAAAATATTTTAGCTTTTTTTTTTTTTTTATAAATTAAGAAATTACCAACATACAATTTTCTGTTTTTATTATAATTTTCTTTTTTTTCTAAATTAAAAGAATTAAAATTTTATTTTGGTTCAAAATTTTGTAAGGAATAAATGTATAAGAAAAAATACATTATATAAATATAAAACATATATAGATATGTATATTTATTATCTATTTATTTTTTTATGTATTTTTTTATTTATTTTTTTTTTTTTGTATATAATATAAAAAAAGTACACATTGATAGTATATTTCTTTTATTTAGAATATTCTTATTATAGATAAAAATAATTTCATTTGTGCCTTTTCGTCCAAGCTTTTATACTTAGTCTTTTAATTTGAATTTTAAAAGTCTTTTTTTTTTTTTTTTATCAAATATACCGTATTTTTTTATTTTTTTTTTTTAAATTAAAATTTTTTCATATAATGATTCTTTAAAACAAAGTATGCCAAAAAAAAAAAAAAAAAAAAAAAATAAAAAAATAAAAAATAATAAAATTAATATATCAAAATATACAAGTCTAATTTTAGCATAATAGAATTATATGCGTGTAAAGAATAAAATAAATATGAAATAATTCTAAAGTTTTTTTAATTTAAAATTTTGTATTTTGTATAATTTATATTATATATATATATATATAAAAAAAAAAAAAAAAATAAACTTTTTTTTTTTTTTTTTTTTTTTTTTTTTTTTTTTT